ACTGTTGCACCAGAATGTAAAAATATGAGTGACAAATAAGGCAAAAGATTATGTATATTTCATTAAAAAAGATTTGAGATAAAAGATTCATTGGCATAATATGATCTGATTGATTATCTCCATATCCGTCTTTTGGTCACTGTGATTAAAGATTCATAGAAATATTAGAAATAACAACTGAGAATATCACTTTAGTTGTTTTAAAAGCATGTATCAGTATTTTATAAGATATGCTACGAGTCTCCTCATAAGAATTTTTAGAATACTGATCCGATAAAAGGAATGTGAGACAATATGATAATAACTCATGCAAAAAAGATTTATAAGCATTTTGAGGATCTTTTAGTGTCCTAGTGTATTTCAGGGTAAACAATGGCAGTGTTAATATGAATGTTCTAAACATTAGGTATATAACACAGTAATATTGGATCAATACAAAGATGACCTTCATAGAAAATGTATAAAGAAAAGTTTGTTAAAACTTACCATGTTTATACTCAGTATATAGTAATATTCATTAAATAATCCAGTGAACTGATATCTAGGCTGATCCAGGATTCAGCTGTTCAGAACTTTCTTGGAAGAAAAACGGTAGAAAATCAGTTTTGGTACTGAAATCCATAGGACCATACTGTTATTACATGAAGTCTCAAGCGCTGTGAAAGTCTGTGTTATTATGTCCAAATAAGCAGCCATCGCGGCTTGTGAAGGACTAACATGACGTCGCTGCCAAGTTTATGACGTCACAATGCATAGCTAAGCTCGCTGACTAGATAGTTTATAGAAAGATAAGTCCAACCTATTTTTGCATACGACCCTTTTTTTTTGCAAACGGTCCTTACAGATCCAACAGGTAAAAAAAAGATGATGCATCAGGTATAAAAAAGAAAAGGCCCAGAAGAAGAAGGTGTTATTTTTTATTGTTTTTTCAGTAAAAAACCAGTTTGAACTGGTTAGACTAGGTTGTCTAGACTGTGAAAGCATGCGTGACGTCATAATGACATTCATTCGAGTCGCTGCCAAAAAATCGTAGTACTAACGTATATAGTATAATGTAAACACACAGTGTAAACATTCCGTATTTAGGATCTATATGTAATGAATTGACCCCCACCTATCCCCCAACCCCAAGGATTGTACTGAGTTGACCCCCCTTATCCTCCCAACCAATCAGAATCCACCATTTTTTTGAACCTCATTTGCATAATGTCCTAGATATTGACCAGGCTATCGCTTCCGGCTAGGGACATTTCCGCCCACTTCCACTTCCGCTAGGCCACTTCCGCTTGATCCGCTAGGACCCCGCTTCCGCTAGACCACTTCCGCTTCCGCTAGGGGGCCCATTTCCGGCCACTTCCGCTTCCAGCTAGCCCACTTCCGCTTCCGGTTCAACCACTTCCGGTTATGACGTCACTTCCACCACATCCAGGATGCTTATACTACTATTGTCTAAAAACCCTGGATCTCCTGATCAAGTTCGTTTCTCATGATGACATGGACACCAGGGTCAATGTTTCCAGAAGAATTGAGGATGTCGTCTCAAAACCTATCAAAAGAATTAAAGTTCTGGCAAAGAACATGATGGTGTTAATCTGTAAACGTCGACGGCCCCTAGATAAGAATAGTGCACACGTGTCCTCTTAAGGAAAAACAGAAGTACATTTAACTTATATAAGAATAATAATAACGAATCTATGAAAATAGGACTTAACTAGAAAATATTTCTGATTTATTTTAAGGAATTTAAAATTTAAAATCAAATGTTTATACAAGTAATCATGTACATGTATATGTACATATTGGAGTGTATGAATGAAATATACATATATGGAGATAACGAACAGTATGAAGGTGTGTATATACATTGTATGCACCGCATCTGTTTGACAGTTAAATTACCAGAAGATATCTTGGATACAACCCAAACAGCCATCACTCCACTGACACTGTGGGGGATAGGCGGGTCAACTGAGTGCAGCCCTTGTGGGGGATAGCCAGGTCAAGGGAGTGCAGCCCCTGTGGGGGATAGCCGGGTCAAGAGAGTGCAGATTGGGGGGGATAGGTGGGAGAGTGCATAGCCGGGTCAATAGCTCAGTACAACCCTAACCCTAACCCTAGGGGGCTAGGTGGGTTAGTTTATAGTCCCCTATATATCCTATACGGGGTGTGTTTACACTGTGTTTACATTATACTATATACGCTGCTACTACGATTCACAACGCTGCTACTACGATTTTGGCAACAAATCAAGAATGTCATTATGACGTCACGCTTCACAGTCTAGACGGTCTAGCCAGCCAGCCGGTTCAAACTGGATTTCCTCAAAACAATAACAAACCTGGATTTTCTGAAAACAAAGAACATTAACACAAAATAACAAGGCAATTTTTTTCAGAATGAAAATAATACATTTACATTTACTTTTTCTTCTGTGCCTTTTCAGTCATCAGGGATAGTTTTCTCTTGTGTGTAGTACTGGGGCCTGGAATCTCTCTGTTGTCTTCCTTTTTCTCTTTTTTGTCTCCTACTTTCACTAAAGGTTTGGTCTGGTGGGTCCCTGAAATCTTGGGTTCTTGAGGCTTTTTCTCCAGTTTTTGTATTTCTTTCACTAACTGGTGTGTCTTCCTTCCTTGTTGGCAAATCTTTTCCATCACTTCTTTTCTAAAATCACCTATATCATTATGAATTATCTGCATGATAAAGGTCATTTGATTTAAGATACCGCCTATCATTCTCCTGTCATCTACATCTAAAAGATCCTGTGTTTCTGGTACGGTCTCCTTTGTATTTTCCTCTGCCATATTTTACCTGTGTTGAATTCAGAATATACGTTTTACCTGCGTTTTTATACCTGTTGCATCACCTGTAAGGACCGTGTGCAAAAAATTAGGGCCGTGTGCAAAAATATGTTGGACTTAAAAAGTACTTACTTACTTTTGATCGTACTGTGTACGATTTTGTACACAGTCTAGTCAGCGAGCTACCTATGCATTATGACTTTCATACACTTGTAAAATTAAAGTTTCATTTTCACTTTTGTTTCTAAGAAGTGAACTTAGATTTTCATAAAATGTAAGACTATCTTTTGTTTTTCCTCTCTTATTCTATGATGATTTTCCTACTGTGAAGCTTTTCTTGTATATAAAGCTCAATTTCTCTATGACCACTGAAGTAAACATCCTGATGCATTCTTACCATGTGAATGTTGAGACCGTGTTCATTTTTGAAATCTTCTTTTCTGACAGACATATTCCACAGGTAAGTTTGTCTTATTTTTACATTTCCTATGAAGGTCATCTTTGCATTTAATCATGATTATGTAAAGTTGTGTTTTGAATGTAAATACTGTATTTATCCTCATTTCATGTGATTTACAGTTGTATAACCTGCATGTAACTCAGAGTACATTTAATATTTGTATGATGGGTCATTCTATGATTGAATTTCAATCAGAAAAATATTCACTAAATTTTGGTAAAATACATGGTATCTTTTACATTTCTGTCCCTTTTGTCTGTAAATTATTGCTTTACTTACATTGTAAAATGAGGTTAAATGTGTATCACTGAATTGTATGATTTTTTCAGGATCAGCTGAGATGTTATTTCACTGGATTATTTAATGGATAGGCTTATTGGGCATATAGTTGGATATCTCTGGTAAGTTTGTCTTGTTTTTTTTTATTGTTTACATTTCCTATGAAGGTCATCTTTGCATTTAATCATAATTTATATGTAAAGTTCTATTTTGAATGTAAATGCTGTATTTATCATCATTTCATGTGATTTACAGTTGTAAAACCTGCATGTAACTCAGAGTACATTTAATATTTCTATGATGGGTCATTCTATGATTGAATTTCAATCAGAAAAATATTCACTAAATTTTGGTAAAATACATGGTATCTTTTACATTTCTGTCCCTTTTGTCTGTAAATTATTGCTTTACTTACATTGTAAAATGAGGTTAAATGTGTATCACTGAATTGTATGATTTTTTCAGGATCAGCTGAGATGTTATTTCACTGGATTATTTAATGGATAGGCTTATTGGGCATATAGTTGGATATCTCTGGTAAGTTTGTCTTGTTTTTTTAATTGTTTACATTTCCTATGAAGGTCATCTTTGCATTTAAGCATGATTATATGGTTTAATTTAATGACTGTGTAATACTTATGTGATCTGTTGTCTCTAACTTACATTTATATAAGCACACCCTTATTTAACCTAAAATATATTAACACATGATTAAGGGATCTTCAGAATATTAATAAGTCCTTTTGTATAAATCATGATATAATTTCATAATTCATTATGTATGTTACCCATGGAATTCAGACTTACTAAATGGTGATCAAAGAGATATTAATTAGGAATCTAATAAGAGAAAAGGAGGAATTTACAAAAGATTAATTCTAAGTCATTTACTTTTGTTTTGATTCTAAATATGTGTGATATATGGCATACATATAATTTCATTTTCACTTTTGTTTCTTGGTAATGAGCTTTTCAAAAAATGAAGGACTACATGTTGTACTGTGATGATGCAAAAAAAATAATGTATTTTTCTGTATGCAGTACTGACAGTTATTAAACCAAAATTGAATCTGCTGTTAATAAAAAGTCTTTTAGTGTCTAAATAATTAATTTGATAATCATTTTATTTGTGATATTAATACTGTAATTGTGCTTTTTTTTATTATCTTAAGATAACATGATGAACTTTTCTCATCTGGAGTTAATGTTAAAAACAATTTTTTAGATTAAAAACAAATATTTTCATGATCTTTTTTGACATTGTACATGTTGTATTTAAACATGCATTGTTTCATGCAGTACTCTGTCATATTAACAAAATGGTTTTATTTCTACAGTCATCAACATGGAAGATATGGTTTGTTCCTAACCATCTATAATCAATTCTCTATGAAGTTCAGACTGTCTGCTGTTCCTTTGGAAATACACAGTTAGTCAACCAACATAGAAACACACAAACTTGAAGGTAAAGTTTCAATGAGATACAATTGTAATTTTTATTTATTTTTTTACATATGCATGTTTATATTTTTGAATTGATAAGTAAATGATATATGATTTTTTAAATAAAGAGGGCTTGGTGGTCATGGTCATGTTTAAACTATATTGATATCCTTTAGAAGAAGAAGAAGCTCCATATAAATATATCAAAAATGCATGATCAAATTTTAAAACTAAAATGTATGATATTTTTCTTTGCCAAATGATAGTTAACAGCTGAAGATAGCATATCTATAGAATAAGTTAAATATGGCTAATTTGTTAACCCCCAGTTTCCTTAATAGCATAGTTGGTAAAGATAGCAAGTTTTGACTCCAATTGCTGATGAATTCTGAATTTTTCATTTAATATTAACATTATATCACAGGGAAAGAATACTTTAATGTGGCTCATCAGGATGACCAGAAAAGAAATCTTAATGGCCCTCTTGACTATGTATAAAGACTGTAACCTTATAACTGATGTAAGATGATCTGATTGTGTGGAAATAAAATTTCCTGGTGTTTCTACTACCCAAGATCTTCTTATGAGTGTATGGGACTGCTGTAAACCTTCTCCTGTTTATAAAAATAATACCTTGGAGCATGACACTTTATTCATAAAAGGTACTTTCAATATCATTTCTATGAGTTTGTGTTCTTTCTATTAATAATCTAGTAATTAATTCAAGTGTTATATCTCCTTTAAATTCATTAATATGTATGCTTCCAAAATCTTAGATCTGTCTGTATAGTTTCTTCAGCTCTTTGAACACAAATACCCTGATTCAATCTTTTGAGGTAAACATCATAGAGACATCATAGATGATTATCAGAGTGTATATATCACAATCTTGACCATAAGGTCAATTTAAATGGTCAAAGGCACAACAAATGAAAGTGAAAACTTTTTTTTTATCAGAATACATAATTTTGTAATAAACAAACACTGGAAAGTTACTCTCATAATGAGCCTTAATGTCTTCCAAGAGTTCAGTTTGGACTTCCTCCATTAATCCTTGTATCTTGTAATCCTTGTATCTCCAATGGTTTTGTGGGCTAAAAATCATGTGTCTTTAACAATCTTTTTTTTTCTGACAACTGTTTTCTCTTATCATCTATAAACTTGACTTCTTCTCTAGTCAAAGGTCTTTCAGGGTAATCCAAGTAATTCTTACCCTCTTTTGGTAATAAATGGTTATATTCTTCATTGGCTTCTTCTGCAATCAAGGGTCTTTCTATGTAATCTCTGACAACATTAGGATCACCCTTTTCTGGACATAATTGGTTATATTCTTCTTGAGAAATGATCTCAATAGTGCCATCTTTTTTTATTTTAACTGGTATACCTCTGTCTACATCTTTCTCTGAAAGAATTCTCTCTCCAAACTGAATTTTACTCATTCCTTTACTCTTTTCTTTACTGGAGGTGTTACCCATGGTTAATATGAAAAGTCAAATTCTGATGTTACACCTTGTATTTATACCCTTTTTGTCTATATTTAGAATTCCATCAAGCTTATATTATATAACAATTTTTTTTTTCAACTAAGACATTATTTTTTTATTTTTCAGGATTCTCTAGTGAGGGCTTATGGAAATGATCTATGTCTACTCTTAGAATGGTGAAAGACTATCAGATTATGCAAAGACTAACAGAATATCCTCTCTTGGAACACTGAAACAAGAAAACCAAACAGAATGGAGGATTTAAGAAGAACATAGATAAATATGATTTTCAACCAATTTAACCAGTACAATCATAGACTGTGGTTTACAGAATGACAAAGAAAGGTGCCAGAATTGTATCTTTCACTGTCAGACACTGACTATGGATAAAGTGTAATCATTTATCAAACTGAGATCTAGTCAAATCAAGTATTGAAAATATGATTTTCTGATAGCATGAGCTCTTTAAAAACTAATTCTCACAGACCTCAAAGTATCTGAATGTGACTTTTATTTTTACCAATTCATATTGAAGACTGTTGTTATGTATGGGAATCACACATTTAAACCTTTTATTTTTCATCTTATTTTTACAACCCCCTAGAAATTACACAGATATCCAGATGCTGGATTTAATGTTATTATTTAACTTTCCTGGAATTGTAAATATATTTTGTTTGTGTATGTATCATGTTTAATTTTGAATTTAAAATTGGTCTCAATAAGACCCCCAATAAAGATGCAAGTGTCCCATAATCTGTGGTTTAATAATATCTTGAATATCTTTATCATACCATATTCATCATACTAATTACATATAGAATGGTTGTAGGAATACACTTTGTTGTTTAGGACACTTTGTCAAGGTCAAAGCATAAGATTATTGAGATGACTTCTTTGACAATAATTTGTAACTTACAAACTTCACATCATAAGTACACAGATGAAGAATCAATAAGATATTTCTATAGATTTTTTGGATCATTTACTCCTGGGTAAAAGTTAGTTACTGAGATTACTGATTTGAGTCCTGTAATGCAATAACTTAAACATTGTGTGATAACTTATAGACTTTATAAAAATTAGGTGCAAATTCTTAGGAAAGGATTGAAATGTTAATCAAATGTACAATGTTCAAGGGTGTTTATATGACTATTACTATGTAATACCTAGGGTTTCTGTAAAAATCCTATATTCACTACATAGATAAAGACCGGTATAATATATATTTTAAACTATGATGAAGGAAAAAAAAGGGTCAAAAACTCTCCCCTTCATATCTTTCATATTCTGTCATACACAACAATAGATAAATTGCAGTCATTTAACAAACTGAGGTCTAATCAAATCCTAGAATTGATATTGTGATTTTCTGATAGTATGAGATCTTCAAAAAAAAAATAATAATTCCCAGACTTCAAAGTATCTAAATGTGACTTTTATTTTTACCAATTCATATTGAAGACAGTTGTTATGTATGAGAAGTATACATTTAAACCTTTTATTTTTCATCTTATTTCTACAACCCCTAACAAATTACACAGATGTTTAAAAGCTAGCTTTGGTGTAATTATTACTTTCCTGGAACTGTAAATACATTTTGTTTGTGTATGTGTGTGTGTGTGTGTCCTATTTTGAATTTAATAGGTCTCAATAGGACCCCCATAAAGATGTAAGTGTCCCCTGATCTGTGATGTAATAATATCTTGAATATTTCTATCAACCATTAGACTTCATGCTTACTACACAGAACAGGTTAGAGTAATACACTTAGTTTTATAGGACACTTTGTCAGGGTCAAAGCATGAGATTATTGAGATAACTACCTTTGACAATAATTTGTAACCTGCAAAATTCACATCATAAGTAAAGAAAGATTCGGAGATTTTCTATAGATTTTTGGATCATTTTTCTCCTGGGTAAAATTTAGTTGTTGTAACTTTAACATTTTGTGATAGGGTAGAGACTTTATATCAGCTCTATTGGGTGGCATAGCATACTCTTTGGAAAGAATTGAAATGTAAATCATATGCACTATGTTCAAGGATGTTTAAAGACTATTACTATGTAATACCTTAGAATTCTGTAAAAATTTTATTATCACTGCGTAGATAAAGACTGGTTGGAATAATTTATGTTTTGAAATAAGGTTTAGGGAAAAAAGTCAAGAATGTGGATATGACTTTTATTCAAATGGTGCAGTACAGCAACTCTGGTGATTTACATACCTTCAGTCATAAATACATGTAGATAGGTATTGGGAAGACTCCTCTAGATTTTGAAATTTTTAATTCAAAAAGTATAGAATTTTTTTTTAAGTTTGAAAGATTAAATGGCAGCATATCATTTGCTTGTGAATTAAAAAATAAATCCAAACATATACATCTTTGGATGATAATTGTAGAATTTTATCAATTCCTGGACTTCGGTCTTGATATCATCCTTTAATGTCCTTAAAATTTTAATGACTGTCTTTTAGTTTTAGTTGAATTAGTTTCTTTTCTACATGTGAAAATGACATCATCCAAAGAAGTTCTTCATCTGCATGTTATATGAAGAAGACAATTTTCATCACAGTGAAAGAGATTGTTTTGTTAAACATAATGCATTGATGCACAAATATACTTTTAGATTTTTAATAGCTAGGGTTCATATTTCTTAATATGGAATGCTAAGTACTGTTGATTTCAATCTTTTTATGAACAAAAACATACTAGTAGAAAAAAAATATATACATGGTGTGTTAAAAAAGCATGTGTAAACCTGATGACTTTATAATTGCTGATTAAATCAATTATGAGTTTCATCTTTGTTACATTGTAAACATTTCTAAGTAGGGCACACATTAGAAACTCTTAAAATTCTGAGTATCAGGGTTTAACACAACAATTCCAAATGATTTTTGGACGCTTGTTGTGTATCAAAAAAAAAAACAAACACAAAACAGAATGTTTGTTCACAGATGTTCCAAAGGAAAACAAGCTCAAAGAAATGATTTGTAATGTTCTTTATGTGATTCATGTAAAATGTATTTTAAAATTGTACCCTAACATTTACCTTTTGCATAAATACATTTTTTGTGGAGAATTTCTCATAACTTTGAAAAAAGTAGTCTTATTGTATAATATGGTTAACTTAAAATTTTGTAGACTTAAAAGTTGTACATGATGTGTTACACATCTTACATATGTAACCATTTCATTTCAGGGCATTCAGCATATATTGTGCTTTTGTCAAAAAGTAATCTTTGATTGTATAATATTTATCATAATATAATATATGAGAGAAATAAAACTAAGCAGTTTTTGAAAAAATCTTAAAATTTTTTAGACTTAAAAGTTGTACATGATGTGTTACACATCTTACATATGTAACCATTTCATTTCAGGGCATTCAGCATATATTGTGGTTTTGTCTTAAATTTGTTTGTTCATGTAATCAATAATTTGAGAATACTCAAATTAGGTAATGCATGAGAGAATAGGCAAGAAAATCAGGTTTAAGAAATGGTTTTTACTATTTATAAGGGGTTAATCTGTATATTGAATCTATAAGTACATTAAGTCTATACAATTAAGGTATTTGTGTATGAAATAAACTTGCATTTGAGCATTTTAAGACAATTGTAAACATTACTTTAACCAGTTAAAAAAATGATTAGATTCACTGTCAGCATGTTATTTCTTGTAAAATGAATGAGAAAACAATTTTATTTGAGTCAGTTTTTTTTTTTTGATGTAAATAAGAAGCATTGGAAGTTGGGAATATTTCACAAAGTTGATTGAGCATAATTCTCACTAGGACAGTAGGAGTATTATGATTTAAGCATTAAAGAAACCATTTCATATTTCAATATACAAACCATGTTTAGTCATGCAGTATATAGTTTACACTTGCCAAAAAGTAAATGGTATCTCTATTCAGGGTCAATCCAAAGGTCAAAAAGGAATGAAAAAAAAATTTCCCTTTATGTATCAAACATGTAGGTATTATTGCAATAAATTCACTGTATTCATTTTTTTTTTTGGTCCTCTTTCTATGTATGAATAGCTCTGATTTAGGCAATCAAAATACAAAAAGCAAATGAGTTATGTCAAATGATATAAAAGGTATACACCAGAAATTAACATGGACAGAGAATTTTAAGTTTCCCTCAAATATGGCCGCCAAGTGATGTGAAATAAAAACAAAATGTGGATTCATCTATTAGGATTGAGACTTGTACATATTATGAATGATGGGTACTATGACATTAAGAATGACATGAAAGAAATAAGTTTGATTCAATTATATAAACAGTTCTTAATCCATACAGTCAAAATGGAGGGCATATATTTTTCTTTATAGGCATAAAGTAACAAACACTCACCCAATGCATCAAAATTTTACTTTTTGAAGAAAAGGAACCCTACTTACTTTGTTGAGTTGACATTCATATTTTTTGTGTTTAACAGGTAGACTAATGGTTTCTGACTAGTATAATGAGAACTTTTTATTTAAGAGTCATCAGATTGTTCTGATATTTTGGTTAAGATATCTGCATGACATCAATTAATTTGTTCATACAAAGGGATAAAAGCTTTTCCAGGTTTCCTCTTTACTCAGATTAGATTGTGTCTTGCTAATATATCCAACATATAAGATACTCATCAAAGTCAAACAAAGGTAAATAAATGACCTTATTAAGTTTTTAGTCAAAAGGTCAAAGAGATGTGGACATCTGCTAAATTTAATTGTTTAGTTAATATTCATCAAACTTCATGGATAGGTTAATTAAACAAACTTCATATATTTTGATTTTCAGGTCAAAGATCAGCACACTTTTTGCTATACCATTGTTATCTATGAATATCTTAACACCTCTATTGACTTTTCAGGTTAAAGGTCAATGTATTCCTGCTACAGTAAAACTTCATTATAAGGATCTCATAGTGATATTCTTTATTTGTAAGGAATAAGGTATAAAATCTCCCACTCTTTCTATAATATGTCACTGAATGTGCTCCTTCATTTTAGAGAGTTTTACAAGCAAATCATATACTGACTTTCAATCCTTCAAAACACAATATATATTAAATCTTGAGATTCAGACTTTCAGACTTTTAGCTTTCAGCCTTTTAGGATTTCAATCTTAAAAACATTCAGACTTTCAATCTTTAAAAACTTTCAATCTTGAGGACTGAGTATTTTAATATTCATTTTGTCTGTCTTGTCTTTTATGTCATTATGATTAATCCTTAGTAATTCAAACTTTTCATGTTTGTAAAACCAGAGTGTGAAAGTACAGTGTTTGTGTAATCTTCTTTATGTTTATCTATAAATACTGATTTTAATACAGTCAAATATAATTTTCTGATGATCAAAATTTCCAACTGAATTCAAAGACAAACTGCCTGACCTATACATATTTAGAATTTCAATATCATACACTCTTGAATATCCATAAATATCAAAATATAATGATTCAGCATTGGCTATCATCCATACACTTGTTAACCTAAGGAACGCTCTTATCATAAGTTAAACGCATGAAATTCCTCATGCAATTTTGAAGAATTTCTGTTATAAAAGATGCTAAAGACAAAAGGCCCATAAATTTCCAAGAAGTAATAATTTTTAAAACTATATATCCACATTAAATTGGGGAACATTTGAAGAACCCCTTTTCTTTATAACTCATGACATTTCATGCAGATAGTGGCTATAATGTGTAAACAATCTTTATGAAAAAAAAGGATGGTGTAAAGTTAGCCTCACCCAACACCCAAGGGAGAGGGAAGGGGACTGGAGATATAGAATGACTATATAGAATTTTAACATTTTTTATTTCAATTGAATTAAAAAAAAAGAAAATAAAAAAATTGAATTTAATTAATTTTTTTCAAAAAAAAATTTTAATTTAATTCAATTTTTTTTTAAAAACAAATTTTTTTAATTTTTTTTTTTTTTTATTTGAAAATTCATGTTTCCTGGACACAAAAAAGGGTTCAACCCCCTTCCCTCTCTCCCTTGGGTTTGTGGGGTGAGGCTAACTTTACACCATCCTCTTTTCATTAAGATTAAACACATTATTATCTGCAAAAATTGCAATTTGATGAGTTATTCAAAGAATTTTAAAGGTTCTTTGTTTCTAATTTAATGTGGATATATAGTTTTTAAAAATTATTACTGTACTTGGAAATTTATGGGCCTTTTGTCTTTACATCCTTTATAACATAAATTCCCTCTCCCTTGAACTATGATTATGGGATATTGCTGAATCATTATATTTTGATATTTATGATATTCAAGAGTTATGATATTGAAATTCTAAATATGTATAGGTCAGGTAGTAATCTTTTTTTAAATTCAAATTGGAAATTTTGATCATCAAGAAAATTATATTTGACTGTATTAAAATCAGTATTTATAGATAAACATTAAGAAGATTACACAAACATTATTTCACACTTTGGTTTTGGAACATTAAAAGTTTGAATTACTAAGGATTAATCATAATGACATAAAAGACAAAACAAAATGAATATTAAAATTCTCAGTCCTCAAGATTGAAAGTTTTTAAAGATTGAAAATTATGAAAGTTTTTAAGATTGAAAACCTAAAAGGCTTTTGGATGAAAGTCTGAATCAAGATTTTGATATTTTATTGTGTTTTGAAGGATTGAAAAATCATATATGAGTTTATATAAATGATTTCAAATTGAAAAATCAAATATTTAATGTAAATATTGAATTTTCTTGTCTTTGAAATCAGGAGATTTTGACATTTTATAGAAAAGAGTTTTATTTTATAAAAAATAAAGAATATCATTTTAAATCCCTTTTATAATATAATTTTATTGTAGCAGGAATACATTGACCTTTAACCTGATTCAA